TATCGATCCGTTATGAAATGCTGTGTCAGGCCTAGTTTATTGCGTGGGCAGCAGAGAACCTGTGTATGACATTGGCACTATCTGCACTACCATTTCATGGATATCGTAATGCAAAGCCCAGCAAAAGTTATAATTCAGTGTTATAGTTGGGACAGGAGGTTAATTTGCAGTTTGGACACTCTAAAATGTAATAATATGGTGCATCCAGACTATTACTATGAGATCCCTGCCAAGGGACAGAGTTGGGTGACCAAACTTTGAAAATGTCAGTCACTGGTATGTGTTTGTGATTGTGCCCAGATCATATAGCAACTAAATTGAGAGCCATATTTCCACTTTCAGAGGGACACCTACACAAGCTGTGGAATAATAAGGTAATTTGCTTTGCCAAGTGCCTCTGCAATATTGATTGTGTAACTACAGCTCTGGTTGGCCTTTCTGTGTGTACGCTGGGTTACCATTTTCAAGGTCAATAAAGAGTTCAAAGGTGTTTCGCTTTGATACCGTCCAGAGAAGGGCGTCTGGCAGTTTTAGAGCCCCGAGAGCTGGATTATGACTCATGGCTCCCTGTAAATCCACACTGTATTTTATCTGCTGACTGTGTAGGCAGTGAGATGGCTAACTATCCAGCTGCATTTCCACTGAGATATCAAACAAAATCAGCCAAGCTCAGTTGATATGGAAAATGAGCAGCCATGTTGAATGTCCCTTGCCAGCATGTTTCTTTTGTCACTTTAGTAACATAACTCATGGTTATACTTCAGTGTACATAAGTTTTTGATCCAAATTAGCTAGCGACAGGTTCATATTTGGGTCATTCATTAGCTAAAATTAGTTATCTTTGTCAGGTAAACAAGAACAAAACAGCAATGTTATAGCCAAAGCGATTTCAAGATATATGATCATTACATAATTTGGTATTTTTTATAGATTTGGGTTGTCAGTCCAAAATGTTTGTTTGGTCTGTTACCTGAAAAATCTTCAAAACTAGCAGCCAGTGCTGTATTTGAGAGGGATCGCTATTGTCATCAGAAGTTTGAGTGGTTTTTTTGTCATGTTTATGTGCACACTTGACATTTCTTGCGAGCTGCACTTGAAAATAATGTGAATATGATGGTGCTTTTTGGATGCTAGCCAGTGTTGTGTTTGTGTGTGTGGGTCGCTGTCATCATGAGATGGCAGATCTGTGAAGAAGTGCTGCTCTTATTCAGTAGATCCACTGAGAAAAATTAAACTGCGTCTAAATATTAGAGAAACATTTTTGCTCTGCTTTTACAGAGGAAAATAATCTAATGATGTATGCGAGTAAGTGTGAGACTGATGTGGATTCCTCCATCACGCAGTCCTCTGTGTTCCATATCTACTTCACAGACAAAAACTTCTCTATTATTTATAGATCAGAGATCTTTGGGAGATCTTGTGCATTTTAATGTTTTCAGGCCTGTTCTGAGACAAAGAAATTTACTCTTTCTTGAAGACAGAACTTTCGTTTTTGGGTGAACTGTCCCTTTAAGCCAAGTAATAAAAGGATATTGCTGTTGGTCAGTAATGACACATAAAAGAGTGTTTGATTACACAATAACTATTGACCAAATCACACTTGCACTCCAGAATAATACAGCAGCTTTCACTCAGCATTCATCATTATGTGTTTGAATCAATACCAGGCTATATATTCCAGAGCGGAGTCATTGGCTTTTTATTGTTGATCTTTTTCTCCAGCTCAGCATACTGTAGCAATGTGGATGTATTGGTGGGTATATATTAGCACTTAGTGTCCTTAGTCCGTACTCCGCAATAATGTATAAATCACTGGAAGTGGGGTGGATCAGCAGTATTGCAGCATGACAGCATTAGTCCATCATTTTAATGAAGAGCAAAGAGCAAACTGTTCCTGCTTTGATTTTCAACAGTGATTTGAAACATTAAGATACAATTGTGATATACTAAATTTGAGTCTCAGAGATGGAATTTTGTACAGTCAAACTCTATTAGGGTGTGTCTTTGTTTTAAAATGACCCATCATTGGTATTTATTTCAACTACAAGTCAACAGGTCATGCCTGTTGTAAGTTAATCGGGCACATACAATCAAATCACTTTGTCACCAAATACACAGAGTAATGGTGTGAAAGATAATAGTTGCAACTACATATAACTGCTTTCATATGTGAAATGCATTTAATGTTATATAAAAGAACATTGAAGAGAGAGAGTGTGTGTGTGTGTAGGCTTTATTTGTTTATGAAATGATCTGAAGTATGTGTGAAGTATGTTTATCAGTGCATGCCTAACATTTAAAAGACGCAGAGTGTAAATAATGAATGTTAAGTCTAGGTACTCCAGACGGCGCTGTCTAAGGGGGGCTGGCAGATTCAGGTCGAGTTGGACCAAAAGGGGTCTTTTATCTGGGCTCTCACTGCAGGAGACCCCTGTGTCGTCTCTTACATTACTGTAGTCACAGTGTATCTGAGAGGGCTGCATTTATCACAGATGGCTGCTCAGCTGGGAGAACTTCTATTATACTGTCAAAGCTTCACATTAAGATGTAGATATCAGTCATCAGTAATCTGCTCCTCTTCTGTTATCTGCAAAGATGCAGCCATGTGGGAAGAATCAGAGCTTTGCTCACATTTGTGACTAGGCCTGTGATGTTTAATCCTGTGGCCGGACGTTACTTTTCCTTGCCGCGTAGCCATAATCTCAGATCAGACTGGACAAACTAGAAGCATTTCTTTTCTCGAGGACATTTCAATAAATGCACAAGACTACTAGAATAAAGCAGGGGTTACTGGATATCTAGTTATTCTGCAGTTTGGGTTGACATGTCTCTGCTCACAGTAGTCGTTCTATGTTGCAATTTTTCTTAATCAAAATTTTTGTCCTATTTTCCATTTAAAATATCTAAACCTACATGCGAACTAAATTATTAGACAATCATAAGACATGTATCTTTTTTAATAATAATTTAATTGTGTTTGTGCATAGGTCTTATTTGTTAGATCTGCCATGTGGGCATGAGTGGAGGGTTGAGCGAGGTTTGTGATTCGTGTGTGACCTACAAAGGAAGGTAACGGGCTCACTGAGGCGTGAATGTGAGAAGGGTCACTTCAGATATACAATGCATAGACTTCGAATGTTAAGAATGAAATGCTTTTCGAAAAAGATTGAAAGGTTTTTGCGAAGGGCGAAAAATGTATATATTGTATATTATAGAGGAAAGATAAAGAGAAGCCTTAAAGAAAGAAATGGAAAAAAGAGGGTTCAGGTTTAGTATAGAGAGTAAAGGAGAGGATAGCAGATGACTGACAACATTCTTGCGTTAATCAAGCAGTAATCAAGTAGAGTAGTACTCCTGCATACTGGAGGCTGCAGTTCTAGGACCCTTTTTTTGTATGTACTAACAGTTCATACCATTTTATAGCACTTACTATTCAATTCTGTATTTGTTTTATTAATTTTCAGGAAGCATATATATACTGTTCAATAAAGGAATAAAAAATATCTGTAGTTAATGTGATAAGACAACCTGGCTTCATATGTCCATTAAAATTACCTCAGGAACAGATGGTTAAAAGTCATTTTTAAAAATGAGTGCTATTTTTTACGTGTTATTAGTAAGTGTCCAAATAAATTTAGAGCCACTGTATGACTATTTATTATGGCTATTTATTTCTGGAATTAGTGAATGTTCATTTCATCTTCAAAGTAGTGGAAAGTTTGATTCTATTGGATGAATTACGGCATGAATAAATGGACGGAGTATGATCATCTGTGAGGGATGTGAAGTCATTAAAAAAAAAAACACTAACTGGTGTGTATTGTAATTGCCCAGAATGCTGTAAAGGCTTAATGACCAGCGATAATTCTGTTTTAATAATGCTGTATCTCCCAAGACATAGATAGTATCTCCTAGTTGCAAATATAAATATATAAGCAATAAGGTACGAGAGGCTGTGCTGTAATAAGTAACGGCGTTGCAACCCCTTCAGCCGTTACTTATTCACGATACAGCACTTGCCTCTCGTACCTTATTGCATTTATAAAACGGTTACCACACAATCAAAATATTAAAGTAAAAAAAATATATATATATATGTATTAGTGCAACTTTCATGAAGTAAAATCATTAAAAGCCTTCCTTCCTCTAGAAAAAAATAGTCCCTGACCGTGAACGGCAACAGCGTTCCAATATGTAATATCAAAGTCCTTTTATCCTTTTATTTATTTTTCACTGTGAGTAACTGCAGTCACTCCGGCCGACGGTGACGTCACGCGCATACCCTCTATAGTAAGTACATGTAGTTTATTAATATTACTCAGCACTTATATAAGTCCGCTTAAAATAAAGCATAACCAAAAATTATGATATAACATAAATAAAGACTCAGCATTGATTTAACAATCTCTCATAGTGTGATAATTATTCTGCTCTTTCTGTGCAAATAACAATGAGAACACTGGACAGCATCAGCTGATTCACATTGTCCTTTTGCCATTGAGATGTGACGTGAATTTTAATAAGTAAGTTAAATTTGTAGAGCTGCACTTGTTGTGGGAGAGAATGCATGCTATATCAAATGGAGAATATGTCTTATTTCTTTAGGAGATCACAATTTCTGTCTCTGTTATGCAATCTAAATGATCGTCCTTCTCTTTTGTTAGACTCGCCATTCATTAGTCAACTGAAATGTTTCATACCCATTCACCATGATGACCTTTGTCCTGTCTTAGTGTCGTTTGTGTCCTCTGGGGTTAATGAGCAAAGTTTCCATAACCTTTGACCCATTCTCTTTTGTGTTCCTCGGACAGAGGACTTCTAAAGTTCTTAAGTCTTCTTAAGTTCTCATGTTACTTCATTAAGACCCGTGTGTGAAGAGACCACATAGCGAGTCACAGTAATCCAGTCTAGTTTCGAGCAATTCCTATATGTCGTGTTTGCATTTGATTTTTGAGCAATATGACCTTATTGAAAAGGTTTTCTATGATATCTTTTTGCAGCACGGGGAGGGGAGTCTGGGACCCCCGATCATCGTATGCACACGGCCGTACCCAGAGTGCCAGCTGTATTCGGATGAGGAAGGAATGGGTGGACGGGATGCGCAGGAGTCAGACATGGACAGCGGGGCAGGATCTGAATCTTCTGAAGGAGGACGTCATGAGGATAAAGAGGAAGGACTTGGTGGACTCTTTCTACGAAGAAACAAGTAAGCATCATGGATAATTATGTTTTGGGTCTTTTTTTTTGTGTTATTTGAGCTTATGATTCCAGAATTTATTGTTTAGTTAAAATATTATTTAATGCAATGATTAATGTTTAATTGAAAATAATCACATTTGATAAAAATGAACAATAAAATAAGTAATAATGAAATGAAATGATTCTCTTTCTGTGGTTTAGCTGTGGTCAGATGGTGTCGTCAGCAGAGGCCTCAGTAATCTCAGTGGAGGAGCAGTTTGAGGACTATGGAGAGGGAGAGGATGTGGACTTCACTCCCAGCAGCCCCATCCCCGATGATGACACACGTACTAATGGTTTCTCTGACCTGGGCTCCTCTCTGCCCTCCAGGTTAACTAGCTCACTAGTACACACTTCTCACATAAAATACTGACACACTGTGTTATATGTGTGATCGCTGCCATTTGATTGCATAGATGAATATGGGTGAATAGCATGAAACCAGACAAGAAAATGTCCAGGCCAAAACTAAAAGATAGATGGAAGAAATTATTTATATATATTTATAACACACACACACACACACACACACACACACACATATATAATATATATGTATATATATTTTTTATATTATAATATAAAAATAATAATTGGCTTTAAATAAATAAAAATATATCACCAAAAATATATAAATAAATATTTGTATTTATTCAAAGCCAATTATTATTTTTATATTTTTTAAATTATATATTTGTGAACATAATTTGCATGGTACTTAAGCAGACCCTTATATAAATTATAATTACTGAAATGCTGAAAAATTACATTCTCATTTCTCAGAATTCTGCTGAACAGTTTTAAAAGAAAGAATATAAAGCATTAAAATCTCAATGCATTATTGTAATGATAAGTTGTGTGTAAAATAATGTACCAATTCAAAATGTGTCCATCATAATGATTAAAAAAATAAGCATTTTATTTTCATGAGATTTACTTTCTTGGATGAATGTTGCTGGGAAGTTTTGACAGCTATTAATTATCTCCTTGTCAAACATAACATTTTATTAAACAGTTTTGCCTTACAGTGGTACTTTAAATCTTCATCTGTGTAATAATTATCCTATCATGAACTCAATAACAGCTCATCAGACGTTCTTATAACTATGCAAAATGTGAAATTTCTCATCATATTATATTATTAAACACTATGAGTAAGAAAAATCTGAATGCTCCTACTGCCAGTATTGATGATCACTTGTTGTTTCCAGTGCTGGCCAGACCCCTCAGAAGATCAGACACCTGTACAACAGTGAGCTTCTGGATGTTTACTGCTCTCAGTGCTGCAAGAAAGTCAACCTGCTCAATGACCTGGAGGCCAGACTCAAAAACCTCAAAGCTAACAGGTAAAGAGGAGACCGAGTTTGAAGTTAGCATATTAGCATATTAGTTAGCATATTAGCATGTTAGCATAGTCTACAAGGATTTTTCCATTGACTTTTGGATTATTGCAGAATAAGCTCTGTGACCAACAAAACTTTATGAAATTAAAACAAAAAAATTAACACAACTTTTTCTGAATTTTGAAGCCTAAATACAAAGTCAAAGTAAAAAGCTAAGTTTGGGCTATGACTACACCACGCCCGCATGACTTTACCGTCACCACTAAGGCCGTGTGTCCACCAATGCGTTTTTTCCACGCGCCTGGCATATGTTTTCAATTGTTTTCAATGGGAGCGCCACGTTTTTTAAACGCCATGAGCGTAACGAGGCGCTGAGTGTTTTTTGCACGTTAATTGAAGCGCCCAGAGTTTTTTTTACAGGTTTTACTTTGGATAAAACGCAGCGCTCATCACTGTCACTTTTTACCCAGCTGTCCAATCACAGTGGAGGAGGGGCGGGACTAAACCACACTGACTAACTGTCACAACATTCTTTCTGTACAACGACATCAACCAGCAGAGCTAACCGGTCAAAATGTATGAAAAATACATTTTTAATATGAAAAATTATCTGCGAAATTAGTTACAAGTAAACTCTGCTGCGGATATTCTGGATCATAGCAACGAAACGTCTCAACGGAAAAAACGCTGCGCTGCCAAAACGCTCTCAAGCACCCAAAGCTTGGCATCTTCAGCAGAGCGTCTGGCGTTTTCAGCTGGCTAAAAACACTTTGGTGGACACACAGCCTAATTTTAGAAAAACGCTTTCAAACTTTATCTAAAATCCACAAGTTTGAGTTTGAAGAGTTTGAAAAAGTGTTAGGCTGTAAAAGTACATCTATTTTATGTTGTAGAATTAACCACAGACCTTTTTTCAGACAGTTTAGCCAAAAATCCCTTCAAAAAACCCAGTGACTTAAGGACGATGAAACTTCACGTTCTAAATGCCAACTCGTTTTTGGGTTCTAGGACTCATTCCTGCAGCACTCTATAAACATGTCTGATTACAGTACATGGAACTGTTTTTATTGATGTTTCATTTTTTGATTATTAATTGATTATTTTGATTATTTTATTGTTTTTACTGAGCTTGATATGGTGCATATTAATAATGAACCTATATTTATGTTGTATTGATGTTTTTTTCTTTTCTGGAGCCATTCAATGCATAAAATCTAGCATGCTGTCCTACAGTACCTTAATCAGTGATTACATGACCAATCCTGTTTTTAGTGCCCTTAACTGCACTGCACTTCTGAGACAATTCTTTGTGTCAGTTCACTCTAAGTTAGAGCTGGATATATTTTTATGAGTCTCTTTAATCACCCCTGTCAAAAGCTTTATCGGGAGACGGGCTTCATTAAAGGAGCTGTTGCCATAGCAACAATATTCCAGTCAAGGTTTACTAATCTTTGTGAATGTTATCAGAGACAGTGTGGGAAACCTGAAACCCTCAAGAAAAGCCTGGGGTGTTTAAGTGGGTGTGTGTGGTGGAATTTGATGAAATAATCCTTTTATTGTCATGTGACAACATAACATATTTGGTACTTCAGGAGAACGACACGGCATTCTTAGGATTATGAGGATTCCACTTCATATGCTACTGACACACAGAGACATTATACTACAGACAGCTGCCTCACTGCATATTTCCTACATAGACAGCTGCCTTTTAAGACAGCACCCTAACCGTCCCAACCCACACAAGTTACTTCATGAACACATAGACGGCACACAAATAGAGTGCAAGAGTGCCCGCCCAATTTTTCAGCCTCCTTGGTTCCGGAAGTATTTATCCCATTTATTTTTCCAATGGGATTATCAAAAAGTCTTCATTTAGAGTTATACGTCATAAACCAAACCCAACCAGGTTAAACACAACCACGAGTTTTAGGCTTAGTATGTAAGAGGTTAGAATATACAATTTGTACAGTATAAAAAAGATTTACGTCTATAGAGAGACCCCACAAAGATTGCGAACCAGACGTGTGTGTGTTATTTTCATAGACTGTAAAAAATATGGACACAGCATCTGTGACGTCACCCATAGACTTTCTTAATAATGGGTTTGAGGCTGTTTATGGGGGGTATGGGCGGCGCCATACTGGAAAATCTTGGGGAATACAAAATACAAATGTGTCAGATCATGGCCGAGACGTCAAATTCCACTCGGTCAATCAAAGTTAACCACCCTTATCTAAATATGATCTAAACTAACGAGTTAGAAAAAATTCACCCCCCTCACAGTTGTCAGGCACGCGGAACATATTGAAGATTACAATAAAAGTCCATGGGACCAAACTGTAAAAACATGAATTTATGCTGTGAAAACGGACATGTTAACATGGGGTATATGTACATTTGCTCCCTTTTGGGACCGGCCCCTAGCGGATTTTCGATGTATTGCAGTTTTTCGCACTTCCGTGTAGGCTTCATGTTTCAGATTAGAATGTTGCCGCTTGATTATTTTGGTGTGATTTGCTTGTGGAAATGGGGGGTTATGAACTTAAGTATTAATTATTAATGTGTGCTGATGGCTTCAACAAAAAAAGCATATACTGTTGAATGATTAACAACTGTGTAGCTCAAAGTAAGTTTGTCTTCTTTAATGGTTTATAAGTTATAGTTTAAAATAAATTTCCCTTTGAAGAAAATGAATGGGATTCTTGCTTCCAGAAGCCAATTGTTGCCCTGTAGTTTGATATTAGCATGTTGCGAAGCTAAAAGCATGACACTGTAATACACTTAAAAAGATTACCATAAATTAAAATTAATATTAATATTTACATATGCTTTGTAAAAGTACATTTAGCTACATGCATCACTTCCTCCACCACAAAAGAATCCTTTTTTCTCCAAGTTTAATGCAGTGCATTCTGGGTTAGCCTTCTCAATATAATTGTTATTATTATTATTGTAAATGATAATAAAACAGTATTTTAGAAAGCAACATAATCAAGTATCTACCTTTTGGAACAGCCTACTTTTGAAATGGTGCAAGAGAGACGTTCAGTAAGAGCTGTGTAATTTCCTTTTCTCTGGCTGAATAGGTGTGATGGGGAAGTGGGATCATGTGGCATTCTGAGGCCTTTGGCTATTAATCTCCTGGCATTTTTGTCCAAATCCTCCACTGCATACCCTGCCAAAGTTAAAATGCATTCATGCAAAACATGATCAGCACCAATATGAACCACACCTCTATAATGACCGGCAAACATTTTTTTAAAACGTTAAAAAACTTAAGGAGACTTGCTGTTTTTTTACGATTTTTTTTTTAAATCAAACATGTCAAGCTAACTGGTCAGGACAGGTCATGAAGAACTATGTGCACCTGCACTTTTGAGGGCATGTGTGTGAATGCTGAGTGCATTTTGTTGGTTTGCAGATTGTCTGGGTCTATCATTGTTGTGGTAGGTTATACGTGTTTTGTCAGTGCTGTGATGTCTGGGTTGGGTTTGAGGACAGGAGAGACCTGACTTGTATTTCCGAGTTCAGATCTGTGTGATGTAATGAGAGAAGGGGTTTATAGAATGACGTGGGTCACACAGTTACATAAACACAGGCAGAGGTTTATAATTAGAGTGCAGGTGCTCTATTTTTACAGAGGTCTTTCAGAGCCGTCTGATTATCAGTGTAATCTCATTACCTAGGACAGACTGACTTCAGTACCTGATCTTGGTCACTTGGGGCGATAGTGAATCAGTAATTAGGCTCTAAACAAAACTGATGACCAGAATAAACGAAACATTGCAGTGCAAGATTGATGGGAAGCACTGAAAATCAAATCATCTATATATCTATCCATCGATCTGTCTATCTATCTGTCATAAATGTTTTTTCTGATTTAATCTTTCAGCATCTATACCCATTAAATTGGATTTTCTGCATGGTATTATATCATTTACAGTTTGTATATGATGAAAGTTAGTGAATGTGTATATTTTAAGAAGCTGTTTAATGTGTCGGGATAATATAAAATGGAAAAGAGTTGTGAAAGGTTGTAGCAGTGCAAAACTCCATTCTCTAATCCAAGGATCTTTTGATTTTACAGCCCAAACAGGAAAATTACCAGTACAGCATTTGGTCGGTAAGTCTCTGATCTCTGTTATGTTCACAAGATCTGTAGAATAGAACATTTACAAAGTGCTACATACCCATTGCCTGATAACTGAGAGAAGATGTCCTGATTCTCTGTTTCTCTGTGTGTTTCACAGTCAGCTCTTCCACCACAGTAACTTCAGCAGCAGTCAGGGCAGCACAGAGGATCTCTTCAGAGACAGCATCGACTCCTGTGATATTGACATCACTGAAAAGGTCTTGAAGGCATAATGAGGTGGTCATTGAAGACCACATTTATTGTTGAATTGCTTAATGCATAATAAACTGATAAAAATCAAATAGTGTTTCAGAAATACTTGCGAAGGCCATTATTATAATGCTGTTTACTTGCGAATGTGATTCAGAAAGGATTGTCTATAACAAACTCGGAAACACTTTAATTTAAGCTGACATGGTTACTCATTCCTACATGTACTTACTATAGTTATAATAGTAAATTATGCATAGTTACAAGTAACTAAACCAAACCCGAACCGTAACTCTATAGTAAGTACATGTAATCAATATTACTCGGTACTTATAAAGTGTAACCACAAACGTCTTTATTCCTATTACAGGTGAGTTATTTGGAAAAGAAGATAACAGAGCTTGAGAACGACAGCCTGGCTAACGGAGATCTGAAATCCAAACTTAAACAGGAAAACACACAACTAGTTCACAGGTAAAGATGACAGAGAGATCTGAGTATTAGATACAGATTTGATATGTTATAAAGAAAGAGCATACAGATGTTTGAGTTGTGGGGTCATTAAGAGCATTTTTAAAGATATTAAAGGTGCATTGCGCAACATTTCATGTTAAAAATAGCCGTTTTTCGAACCCATTCATGCTTAAGCAATTGCCTGATGGGCTGAATGAGCCCTTCTCTGATCACTGCGATTGCCTCTATAATCCTGTACAGTAAAATAAATAAGAGGGATTCGGGACAGAATTTGAGACTGGGCATGACGTCATGCACGTTCACGCTCACCTGGCTATGTCTGGCAGGTTTCTGTATTCGCAGCCATTTTCCGTATCAGCGAAGACAACAAAAGTAGAAGATGGATTCAAAGAGACCGGCTTGTAGTCCATTCCAAACCCCAACGCAAACTCCACGTAAGACAAAGAAAAGAAAACTTTTGTCTAGTGCCACCAAAAGGGCCAAATTGGAGTCAGTACAGGCGTCGGAATAAGACGAGAGTCAACATCGGGCAGGCTTTCAACAAATGGAGAGATCTCCGGTCTGCTCTAGGGCTCAAACGGGATAGTTACCCTTTTTCTGTCTCCTAAATGTATGAACTATTGTGACCTTGCCCAGGTACAGCAGTTGAAAAGCATTGACACTTTTCTCATAAATGTTCGTCTGTGTGTATTGTCCCTGTCAAAATATCTACTAATAACACAGTTCAAGATTCTTGAGTGTGATATAAAATTCTGATATATAAGTGAGATAATTAAACACAAATTTTCGGTGGATTAGCCTGTTTGGCTTTTACGGTAACTTCATAGTGCCATTTGATTGTTCTTTACCATGAGACATTTGAGTGTATGTTGTTGACCAACTGTGTATGGTATGATTATTATTTTGAGCTTTTACAAAGTAATAACTTGTATTGTTCATGTCATGAACATGTTTCCATATTAATACAATCATAAGTGGATACAGTATGCACATAAAACAGTTCAACATGGAGATAGATGGTAACAAAAACCGAAGCTTTCTACTACTAATTTATTCAAATTCCTTTCCTTTAATGTATTTAAAATGACTTGCAGATTTATATCTTTATTAGCTCTGAAGACATTATGACTGTAAACAAAAGATTTGTGCGGTGGATGCTCCTGAACAGCTTGTGCAAGCATGTGTGTGGTCCATGAGCATGTACACCTCTGGTTGCAGTTTTGCTTGTCGCCAGATGGGGCATAGTTCTGCAAAAATTGGTCAATTTAAATCAGTATAGATTTATAATGATACAAAAGATTTCTATGAAATGTATATATTAATCAAAGAATCTTAAGTATCAAGCAGCATCAAATCTGCTTAATATTTAAGTATCAAATCATCATATTAGACTGATTTCTGGATCATGTCACACAAGAGACTGGAGTAATGATGCTGAAAATTTAGCTTTGACAATATTTTCAAATGTAATTTATTCTTGTGATGTCAAAGCTAAATTTTCAGCATCAAATCTGCTTAATATTTAAGTATCAAATCATCATATTAGACTGATTTCTGGATCATGAAATCAGTCTAATATGTCAATATTTACATTTGAAAATATTGTCAAACAGAAAACAGTTATTGTAATAATATTTCACAATATTACTGTTTTTACTGTATCTTTGACCAAATTGGTGAGCCGAAGAGACTTGTAGTTCTGCAGTATATGTTTTCTAATGTCTGTATGTGTTTTTGTTTTGTACATGTTTACCCATCAGGGTACATGAGCTGGAGGAGCAGATCAAAGATCAGGAGACGCGTGCAGAGCAATGTCTAGAGGAGGAGCTGAAGAGACACAGAGAGGCCTACAGTAAGATGGAGAGAGACAAGAGCACTGAGATTGAACTGCTCAGTAACAGGTACCTGAAGTCTCAGATAAGAAACCTCACACGAAACGAATATATAAAGCATGTGGGGGTTTCAAGACCTTGATAACTCAGAAACACTATTAAGCATGGGACTGGGAGTGTATGGTGTACTACTTTATAATGGATGATTCCTCCCTATAGGGTCCAGCAGCTAGAAGAGGAAAACGCAGAGATGAAAGTGAATGTGTGCAGACTCAAGTCTCAGACTGAAAAACTAGACCAGGTCAGAGATGCATCTAAACTCAAGCTAAAACTCCCTTGACCATCACAACCACATGACCCACACGATACATCAGCTCGTACAGTTACGTGTCGCATGATTAATTTAACAATTAAAAGACAGCACTTTCTTGCTCTCCAACACTCACGTTCACACACCCATTTTCACACTGTCACTTCTTGTGACATCTTTTGACGCAGTGAAATCCCTGGAGCTTGACAGTGTTGACCGCACACTCTTTTGTGCTGCTTGCATTAGTGAGTGTTATGAGTGTGAAAGCTGCTGCCTGCATGACATTAGCAGCCCTGTATTTCGACTCAGAGACTGTGAGGCTTTGATCTCTGGGATGGAATGAAACATTGTGGAGCAACTGCACGACTTGATGCTGTAGTCTTTCCATAAGGCTTTAAAACTAGGTCACTGTCTGATATAGCTAAAATATTAAAGGTTCTCTTGTGGACTGAAAAATATAGTTTTTAGCTGAAGAAGCTACATTTAGGATACAATTGTCAGATGTTATTGCTGGTTTGATTGAAATACAATAAAATGTGATCTTGATAGTCCCCATGTACTTGTATGCCTATTGCCTACCAAAAAAACAAACAGCTGCATGGGACCCAAAATGGCTGCCAAGTTCACTTAAAAATTAAACTTCTGTCATAATTTACTCACCCTCAAGATGTTTCAAATCTGTATGAATTTCTTTCTTCTGCTAACACAAAATAAGATATTTACCCCACTGACAAAAAAAAAATACTATATAAAGTCAATGGGGTACATCAACTGTCTGGAATGTACTTTATCAAGTTAAATATTCCTTTAAAGGGATTTTTTTACTCACTATGTCAAGTCAAATTAGTTTATATAGCTTTTTTCAAAATGCAAAATTAAGTATGTCTTAATGCCGTAATACTTTTAACATAAAAGAGACACAGCAATATACAGTATAACGATGGCATAAATGATCCTCTGGATTTAGATGTAGCTATAATGCATTTATTATGTTTAGATATATCAGTGTCACCGTGATTAGACAGAATTACTATATCCAAATGACTAATTTCATGGTAAAATGTTGTGTATATTTGTGCACAGGAGAAGCAGCGTATGACAGATAAACTGGAAGACACAAGCCTGCGTTTGAAGGATGAGATGGATCTGTACAGGAAAATGATGGATAAGCTTTGGCAGAACAGACATGAGTTTCAGAAGGAGCGAGAGGCCATGCAAGAGGTAGCGCATGTCTTTTTGCAGATTACAACTGTACACATACATAAACTCAAATATACAGACCTCTCACACGATCCACGTGTGCATGTAGCTGATTGAGGACCTGCGGCGCGAACTGGAGCACCTGCAACTCTTTAAACTGGAGACTGAGAAGCCCGGCCGTGGCCGTAGCGCTGCTGGGCTGTCGGAGTACAATGCCAAGACTCGAGAGATTGAACTGGAGCACGAAGCAAAACGGCTCAAGCAGGTACAGTGGAAAGATATGGTTGTGCTTATTGTGCTGTCTGTGATGTGTTATCTTACAATATCATTGATGATCAACCAGGTGTATAAACCACAGTATACTATACATCAACTGTCAAGCTCCAAAAAACACAAAAAGAAGAAAATCACAAAAGTGGCTTATGCAATATAAAGAAATTGAAGTCATTATTCATTGAAAATTGTCAGAATTGTTATAATTACTATACATCAGAGGTTCTCAACCATTTTGACTCCAATACCTGCTACTGTCCGAGACGATATCCAAGACAATATTTTTTATTTATATAAAGAAAATAAAAGTGGCAATGGTAAGCAAATTCCATAATTTCAGTTGATGAATAACTGAATTGTATTTCAGGGTTCACACTTTACATGTCTTGTGAATTTACATGTTTCCAGTCATTTGTGATTTAAGGGAAAATATATTTTAATTGGTTCACATACAACAACAACAACAAAAAATCGTATTCATTATAGACTTTTCCAGGTGTAAATATGATTAAAAAAAGTCATATTTTTAAAATTCCCTCATATACAGTAAGCAGGTTTCCCAAAGCCATGGGAACCGTGGTTCTTATATAATAGTGGCAGTCGTTGAAAGAACGGATTAAAATAAGAAATGAATGAAATGAAATTTGGAAGTGTGCTGAGGTACCCTAGTGAGAACCACTGCTTTATATTATAATAGGCATACCTCCTGGAATTTAGTATGAATTACACACTGATGTATTTCAACTTCTAACAGGAGAACTATAAACTCCGAGACCAGAACGATGATCTCAACGGACAGATTCTCAGCCTCAGCCTGTATGAGGCCAAAAACCTGTTTGCTTGTCACACCAAGGCCCAGTCACTGGCAGCGGAGATAGACAACGCCTCCAGAGATGAGGTGAGAAGCACAGAATACAGAACCTCACAAAATAGAAATGACTGCTCCTATTAAGTGATAGGATATTAGTCCCATCCCCCACATTTTTCTTTTATGCAATTATTTATTAGTAGAGTTATTTTAAATTCAATTAAATTATAAGTTTGATTAAGGAATCACTAAGTAATCAATAAAAATGTGTACTCTTTTTAAAAGGATGCTAGAGTATACAACTTTTTCACAAGGGACCTGCACTCAAATCAGTTGAGCTGTGTTCACTATCCGCTTTTGCATAACTTGTGTTTGCCATTTAATTAGCAAACTGGCAGCTCCAGTAGTAATGAAAACATTTTTTTTTCATGTATAAACCTTAATTTACAATTTAAGAATCAATTAAAAATGAATTCATACCTGTATGAGAGTACACTGCAGCCACATCGGACTAGCAGATTTTGGTAGACATCTGCTGGTCAGATGTGGGAATTAATTTGGCACAAGTCTAAGAGGGCATTGTGGGTATTCTCTAGCCGTTGTAGTACACTCGTTGTTGCGGTGCATTATGGGATTAAATGAGTGTACTCGATTACATCCACTATAGTTTCGGAGGCCACTACAAATGGTTGTCCCCTCAAATAGTGCACGATTTAAGGGTATAGGGGCCGATTTCGGATATAGTCCTGGTTTTTATGTGTCGGCCTTTTGACAGCTCAAAGGCTTTTGTGAAAACATTGCATTGTGGGAGTTTACATTTTCCATATTTTTAGGGGGCAAAAAGCAAAGCCTTTTCTCAAGTTATTTAGCACCAGTTTTTATGATTCTGTACCTTGATATATAGTTAAAGGGTAGTTCACCCAAAAATTAAAATTAGTCCATGATTTACTCACCCTGAAACCATCCTAGGTGTATATGACATTCTTCCTTCATACGAATACAGTTGGTACGGCCAGCACGGCCGTCTGCCGGAAGCTAGTTATTTTAGTGGATAAAGTATGGATATTTTTCTTTCACGAAGGCAGTTCGAGCACTTTAATCATGAATAGATACGCTTTAATGTTCTTCCAAAGTCAAACAGCCATTCACTCTCATTATCAAGCTTTAAGAGCCAGGACATTTTTTAATATAACTCTGATTGCATTCGTCTGAAAGAAGAATGTCGTATACACCTAGGATGGCTTCAGGGTGCGTAAATCATTGGCTTTTTTGGGGGTGAACCATCCCTTTAAGTGTTAACATGATTTATTGATGCTTCGCATTCACACTAAAAACATTAGCAGATCTAGAGGATCCTACAAAATGTCCTTCAGCTTTACATGAAAGACTGCCATAGTCATTTGGTCAATCTCTCTATTCTTCCAGCTGGTTGAAGCTTTGAAAGAACAAGAGGAGATCAACTACCGTTTAAGGCAGTACATGGACAAGATCATCCTGGCTATCCTCGACCACAACCCCTCCATTTTAGAGATCAAGCAGTAGGGATCTGAGCTGAGAACAGGTAGAGGACTCAAACTTGGTAGAGAGCTCCCCCTTCAGGACAGGGGTTTGAAATGCACCTTTGCCCCCTTACACCAAGTCATCATGTATGACAGAGCAAATTGCTTTCAAAAAAAAAAATCGTGTCTCATGTGCTCTGCCTCACACACACACACAAGTTACAGTTTCTGTTTCCATGCTATGAGTTTAGACCGTAAAAATTACACAAACAAGTGATGAAACTGGAATATAGAGTAGAAGTGTACTTTTCACTCTCAGTTATATACACACTACCTCTGAGTATGTACAACTCAGTGTTGTATTCTAAACATGAACAAAACAAGTAGAATTATGATAAATATCACATGATCACACCATATAGGAGAGCTATACGTGCCCCCATGGCATGTGGGGTTTATTATTATTATTATTATTATTTGAACATTTTAATCAGCCCTCTAGATTATCTCTATAAAGTATTGTTTGCCTATGAATTTTAACAATCCAGTGCTGAATCAATGGACAGAGCAATAGAAAGACATGACTGTATAATAACAATAATCTGCAGATAAGGGAACTTCCTTTGAATGTTCTCTGCCTACATACATTATGGTCTGCTGTGAAAATAATAAAATCATGTCAATTCGAAGATAAAATTCACTGCTGTTAATGGCTGATGCTTTCAGCTCCTTAAATAACCATACAGCTTGTAACGGGACTGTGCTGAACATCCTTTGACCGTCGTAGAGAAGCACAATTGAACGGTGTGAGTACTGATGACACAGTTGTACAATATAGTATATATGTGTAGAAAGAAAAATCTATAGAAAATGTGAAAAAGAAAGGTTTATTTTTCTTAGAAGTCTGTTTGAATGAAATGATGGTCTATTGAAGTTTCAAGGAAGAGGTGGATGTAGTACAAAATGAGTGAGAAGGAAATGATTATGATATACTAAAATTGTTTCGTTTTACCAAGAAAACGAAAAAAACCCCCACAAAATTACGGCCTTAATACAGTGTAGTTAAAACATTAATATCATGGTAAATGTCTCTATTAGAACAATGTATGGTCTAAATATAAAATATATGCAAACTCCAATATATATATACTACCGTTCAAAAGTTTGGGATCAGTAATTTTTTTTTTAATGGAACTAAATCTAAATCTAGATGCATTAAATAAGACATTTATAATGTTACAAAGGATTTCTATTTGTTAAAAATGCTGTTCTTAGTACTGTTTTATTGTATTTTTGATCAAAGAAATGGTGAGTCGTTTTCTTTCAAAAGCATAAAAAAATCTTACTGACCCCATTATTTTAGCCCATTTTGTCTTGATCACATGACAGTAAAGAATCGATAATGTACATGAGTGAAGCTGCACATTTAATAAAAGTACATCTCATGAATGGATCCCCATGCCACTCACAGTATTCTGTATTCCCATATTCCCATTTTACAGATTAGCTATAGTCAAATGCTTTGTGAATCACTGTATTTTAAAGGAGCCAATACTGCTACATGCTCGATTGTCACAAACAAGTTTTGCTTTGTTGCACAAATTGTACTGAATCTGTTTCTTTGCATGGTTTTACTCTCTTTTTGTTTGTGCCCTTTATTTGGAATGTAACATTTAATGTTTCGGTTGTTTAAATAATTATTAATCTGATCAGTTATAGAGGAGCTTTTATATCTTTCTGTTCTACTTGTTCTGTAGCATTTTTTCACTCATTGTAAATGTTGTACAGAGAATAGTTAATATTTGTATTGATGTGCCACTCATTAACCTTAATGAATAAAAGAAAGGCTGTCTTTTATACAGTTTTATGACAAAACGGCAAGGTAGACGTGCGACCAAGTAATGTATAAATCCTTTGCAACTGTTGAAATGAAGTGACATCACACCTTACTGATGTCACACAGACAAAACTCGTTCTTCATTATCAAGCTAAAGAAAGGAAATTTGATTTCTTCCGAAGAAACACCCATATTAAAACCCTAACGTTTCATATAATTTCCGTTTAACACTTGAATGACCAAACCCTGACCCATTCCCAGCAACGATGTCATTTTTGCACATTTTGAAGAGTCGTGCTGTGTCCGTGTCCACTGTTACAGGTTAGACGTAACACAGTTTGACATTTTTCTGTGGGTCATGGTTTACGCAACCTTTTTGGTGTTTGCGCCTTTTTTGTTGTTATAGAAAAGATAGACCTTTCTTTTGTCCAGTGTGTGGGTATATAACTAGATTTACTATTACTCATATATATTTACACAAGTAGGAAAGGACAAATTAAAAAAGCTTTCAGACAATTAAATAATAGTTTAAAGGCCTCAAGAGTTATGACAAATTTGAAATGTACAATAAATGACTTGTTTTGGCATGACTTTTGAGTTTTGACTTTTTTGTCTTCTCCATCAGTCTTTAATGCATGAACAGGTCAAATTTAATCCGGAAATATTACTTTGCCTTCTTAGCTAGAACAAAATTTAACTTTGTCGTCTTCTACTGGATATAGCAAGTAATTACAACAGGCCACGATATAGACATCGAGATGTGAAACGATTTTGATGACACCATTTGAGAACAGGATGGATTTGTGTCACCTCTTTCAAGTGTCACTTATTCTGCCTATGTGATACTCTTAATTTATTTTATTTTTTTTGTCTTTAAGTCCTTAGTCAATAATAGTTTGTAGTACCTCAACACATGTTGGGTAGGAAGAAAAATAGATTTCCAACTGACCACGATACCATGTTTTTTTTTTTTTTGCAGAAATGCTACTGATATTAGTATATGTATAGGCTAGTTATATATATATATATATAGAGAGAGAGAGAGAGAGAGAGAGAGAGAGAGAGAGAGAGAGAGAGAGAGAGAGAGAGAGAGAGAGAGAGAGAGAGAGAGAGAGAGAGAGAGAGAGAGAGAGAGAGAGAGAGAGAGAGAGAGTTCAGTTCAGGTGGTTAAGTTACACATTGGCTGTTCTCATCTGCGAATCTTAGCTACAGCTTTTTTTCATAATGCAGGAGTTTTCAATAGGAGATTTCAAGAAATGTAACCAAAATCTACTTGATTGGAGGACTAAGATCTGTATTATGACATCAAGTTATTTGCAATTTACAGGATGTCGCGTTTTTGTGAACATAGTTTAGACTAGCATTCTTCCACTTTCTCTTCAACAAGCCACCAGGGGGTGTCATGGAGTTTTGTAAACGTTTTAACCTAAAGTGAAATGAACTGAGACGATTTTTCTTTTTCTATGACTGAGAAATATTCCCAACAAAACAACTAATCAACGAGCAAAGATTATTTTCTCCAGATAGATTTGTCTTTTAATTGTCTTTCTTTCTAGCCAATGCTGTTTTCCAACAGCTTTATTTACATATTTTCATCATGCACAGTCCTATCATGGGGCTTTAATTTGAACAGATAATAGTCACATGACAATCTCACATATATGTGTGTCTCGTGATGACTACACTTTTCTGGCATAAAGTGTTTGTATTCAAGCAACAATCATTCTTCACATTGCTGAGGCTCTGATAAGCCAGTCACCTCCCGCACAATTCTCATTAGACACGTCTACCAAGAATGTGCTCTTAAAAAATGACTTACATGTGTTTTATCACAGCTGTCCAAACAAAAATTCTCCCAGACCATCTCCTGAAGTCACGAAACGCCTTTTTGTCTCAGGTTTTGGGTTTTTTAAAGGGATGTATTTAGAATCTATTTATCTATCTATGACTGAATTTAATATTCAACAAGAAAAGAAAAAACTAGAAGGTTTTTATCCTTATCCTTAAAGAATTGTTTGGATCTTCCCTACCAAATTGGATTCAAACCAAGAGAAGTTTAAAAAAATAACTATTTGACTGTTATTCAAAGGTAGCCTGTGTGATCCAAGTAACATCAAAAAAGGACTATTTGTTTTATTATTAAGGATTGTAAAATCATTTTTCTTTGCAAGAACATGCAATGATGAAATGCTCCTAATGAGACCAGGATCATGCCTTACGTAAGTTTAAAGGGTTATCACCCAATAATGAAAATTCAAGCGTATCGTCAGTTCTGGCAGGACACGTTAGTCAAGCTCGCATCAGCGGACTCTCAGCTGATCCATGTCTAAAGGAATAAGATTCCTATCACTGTATAGGCCTACATATATAAGCTCATTCAGTATTTTCAGCAGCTCTCACATTTCTCAGGAACTAATTGCCCTCCTCCATCCACAGCTCCTCCTCTGACCCAGTCAGCATTTGGCATTCTGATTCCCCTTTGAATCAGACTAAATTCTTGAGTTATGTACATTTAAAATCTTGAATTAATGATATCTGCAATACATTCATGTTGGTTCTGTTCTGTTTACTCTATTGCTGCTCTCCCATGCTCTTATCCATGATAGCCTGCGCAGGGAGTTCTTGCCCAGAACAGAACCACACCGCCAATCCAAACTCTATGCTAATTGTCAATCGTAGATGATAGTGGTTAGAGTAGTTCACTTTTGAAAAAAACATTTGCTGATAATTTACTCACCCCCATGTCATCCAAGATGTCCACGTCTTTCTTTCTTCAGTCGAAAAGAAATTAAGGTTTTTGATGAAAACAATGAGCTTCATTGGGAACCAAACGGTTCAAAGTCCAACTGAGAGTTTCAGTGCAGCTTCAAAGGGTTTAAACGACCCCAGACGATGAATAAGGGTCTTATCTAGGACCCTTCGAGTCATGACTCGAAAAAAGATTTGTTCATTTTGATGAACGAGTTCGAACAGGAGAGTCTCGAACGCTCATCACAGAACAGAGCAAGACGAGCATTTGAGCTTATAAAACTTAAACTTTTTTTAAAAAATGAGCGATCGTTTCGCTTGATAAGACCCTTATTCATCGTCTGGTGTCATTTAAAGCCCTTTGAACAGTTTGCACTGAAACTGTCTTTTGGACCTTGAACCATTTGGTTACCAGTGAAGTGCATTATATGGAGAAAAATCCTGGAATGTTTTCATTAAAAACATTAATTTCTTTTTGATGATGAAAGAATGACATGGACATCTTGGATGACATGGGGGTGAGTAAATTATCAGCAAAGTTTTTTAAAAGTGAACTACTCATATAAGACTTTTGTTCATCTTCGGAACACAAATCTTTTTGATGAAATCTGAGAGCTTTTTGTCCCTCCATTGACCGTCCATATGTAATTAATAACAGAATTAAAATTTTGAGGTAAACTATCCCTTTAAGAAAATGAATAGAGAGGTCCTCAAAATGGACCCTATGGTTTAAATGACCTGTCGATGTTACTGTAGCTCAGCTGTTTCACTCCCACACCAGACCAGAGTCTCTACTCTCCTGTCATGGTGTGTGCTACATTACCTCTCTGCTAGGGGAATGTAGCGCTTTATTTGGGCCAGACGCGGCTCATGATTGAGCACTGCAAGGTGTGAATGACCTCCTTCTCACAAGAGCAGAGAGGACGTAAGTGAGGAACCCAAAGTACAGGGGTCTGTCCCACTTACACACTTTTCTCAGAACTCCTTTTTGGATCGGGGCGTCTTGGACCAGAGACTACAAATCACAGCTGAGAATGACTTTATAGTCTGATCTATAGATGAGATCAGCATACTGACCTGATCTAACACTCATAAAGCCTGAACATTAATTATTTGATCAGATCTGAAAACTAGGAAACTCATCCAAGATCAGATTAGTCTGATTTTTTTCTATATTGTTTCCGATACGAAGTTCTGACTTGAAAATTTAGAAATTATAAGGTTCTATCTGACATTTTTGTCCAATTTGTGTTATTCACATATTCTTATTCTATTACAACTTATATACATTATGTGATGTTTTGAAACAAACAAAAAAAAGTTCTGCACATGTTGGGATTTTTTATTTTAACAACAAAAACATCTACAAACTTGAATGGAATGCAAAAACTATGAAGCCGAATATCTCAAAATACAGAAAGAACCTTATAATTCCAAGGTGTGGAAATGTAATCAACATTTAAAAAAAAAAAAATTTTTTTTACTTTTAGTCATTTATTTATTATTTAATGAAAATGAGAAATGTTGCCTTACACCTAGCTGCAATATAAAACAATTAGGCTTTTATGTATTTGATTTCATTTTTATTTCAGTTAATGTTTATTTTATTTATAGCAAAAATGTGGTTTATGGTTTTAGTTTTATTATATCACCAGTTCAAACCTGTATGCCTTTTTTTTTCATCTCAGAGAAAAAAAACAGGTTTGGAAGGACATAAGGGTGAGTAAATTATGACAGAATGTAATTTCAGGGTGAACTGTCCCTTTAAGTCTCTTTTGTCCATACTTAGCTTTTCCCACAGGGCCCTGTTAAGGGGACTCACATCCCTCCCCACTGCAAAATCAATTGACTTCTTGTTAATTGCTGTTCTCAACATGATGTCTGCCCTGTGGCCATAAAAAAGATCACAGTTCTCCCAGATGTCCGACGAGCCATCTTCACAGAGCTCTTTTGAGAGAAACTGTCTTCAGTGAGGCTTCACTGTGTTTCTTGAGGGGGAAATCAATCTGAAGGCCTCCTGTGTAGTTAACAGAAGGACAGAGGAGTCAATATTAGAGACCGGTAATTCTGCCATATATGCAAGGCCCTATTATCACTGGTCATGTTGCTTAAAAAGTCAGTAAGTGTTGTTTTGGTTCGGCCACATTGAGTTTATTTCAGTTACCCCTTTTCCACCAAAAAAAAGAACTGGTTTGGAACTGGTGCTGGTTCAAAGTTGGTTTGGAGTTGGTTCAAATTGCGAACCGCTTCAGAACCTATTTGTTTTTCCACTGACTAGAGCGCCCGGGGAAGGACGTCGTTACGTCACTGTGTACGTCGCCATACGTCTTAGCTAGAAACGCTTGCAAACACAACATTACTTTCGGATTATCTCTAACTCGTATACCAAGAAGGCTTTAAAAACAATTGAAATATGTAAGTCTTTTAATCTTTTCGTTTGATATGTAATTTTTTTCTGATAAGTTATGTACCCCTGTAATTGTGTCTTTTTTCTTTCCATTTATTTGTTCTATATTGTGACTTTTCTTCTTTGGCTCTCAAAATGCTCCGGTGGAAAAGGGGCTAGTTCAACCCCCCCAAAAACATTCTGTCATTATTTACTCACCCTGATATTGTTCCAAACCTTGTTCTGCTGAGGCACATCTTATAACTAGATTACTACAGTCCATGGAGTGCATGTTGTTTGAGCCCCAGTGTTATAAGTGAAATATCTTTATTTGTTTCATGCAGAATAAAGAAAATCATATGGGTTTGGAACGACATGAAGGTGAGTAAATGATGACAGGATTTTCATTCCTGGACTATCACTTTTAGTAGCTTTTCTTGGCCTGCAATGCAGTAT